GCCTGCTGAAGTCTGTTCTGGTGGGTGAGTGAGTGATGACTGGGCTAGTTGACCAAGACCTGCAGGACTATCCTGCCACTTAAATGGGATCTCGAAGGAAAAACTGGAAAAGCCGGGGGGGGGGGGGGCATTCCCCCTCAAATTTTCCCCAGTGAACAGTCCCTTGACCAGCTTTCCCCCTGAAGCTTGGACCCCTGAAAGATTCTCCTTTCTGGCTTTTTAGACAAAGTCTCAAGGCCAAGGAGGACTGCAGGGCGCTGGCCCGACCCCCCTCGAGCAGAGAGCTGGAACTGCCGCAGGGGTTATGGAGCTCCCCAGGGGCAGAGAGAGGCTCAGGGGTCTGTTCATCCCTCCCTTTGCAGAGCTCAAAAGGGGAAACGCTCCCTCAAGCAAAAGAGTGCCCTCAAACCTGACTTTGGATTTTTGTGCCTGCCGTCCACACCAGTCCGGTGTATTTATTCTGCAGCAACAATCTGGAAACTGCACTTTTTGAAATCAGGGTGGATGGTCACTTGTGAGGTGTGGGGTGTGTGTCCGTCCAATTTTTTTTTTAAACTACTGAATCGCCCCATTGCAGCTGCCCAAGCAGCGTCCAGCAACCAAAGGCTCCCTTCCGAGCGGTGGGAAACACCAGCACAACCTGCAAGGAGTGGGCAGGCTGGATCCTGCCAAGGCGTTTTCTGCAGTTTTATTCCATTTACTGCAAAAAAGGGCATTTTTGTGTGTCCCCAGGAGACCATGGCCGTTTATGTCAGACCCGGCCCTCCTCGCAGATGAGCCTGACCCACAGCTCCGGTGGAGACGTCAGGACTTCGGGGGCGCGCCCCGTCGGTCTGCCGAGCCGCTGCCCCGGGTCTGCCCGGCCCTCTGCCCCAGCCGCGAAGCTCAGAGGAGGGAAGACGGCGCTGCGCGCGCGGAGGAGGGCCTGGGGACGGGACGGGACGGGACGGGACGGGACGGCGCCCACCGCAACCCAGCAGTGCGGGAAACGCCGGTCCCCCACGGAAGCCCCCTTCCGCTCCCGGGGAGCCCCGGGGAAACCCTTCAGGCCTGCGCACCCGGGGAAGGGGGGGGGGAGAGGCTCCGCGACACCCTCAGGCCGGCCCGCCCGCAGCGCGGAAGCCCTCTCCCCCCCCTCCCAGTCCCCCGTGCGCTCCGCGGGTTTGC